TCAGGAGACTACAAAACACACATGAGGCAGTAGGTGGCAGCACTGAACCACAAAATCCACCGAGGACGGCCTCAGTTAAGTGAATGTGGTGCTCCAGCTGTGTTTGCAGATCAGCGAGCAGACATGTAAGGCATGAATGAACCGAGGACTTATCTGAGATTTCTATTTACTGGACTTCAATCTTCAAGAGCGACTTTATTCTTGTGCAAACACCGAAGTCCTGGTGTGAAATCATCTCATTACACTGTCACCCTGCCAACCCACTTTGAGCCATAATTTTGATGTCACTCTTAAAATCAAACACTTCTCCTTTTATATTTATATTTATTTGTTCTTTTTTTCCATCACTGTTACTTAGTGAGCTTTTTTTTTTGGCAAAATCTCAAGATATTAGACTGGAGTGTCATTTAAAATGACTCCTTGAGTCATAACTGCTTTTATTTGGCTTCACGCATTTAAGAGCGACTCCACAGGTGAAGCAGGAAACCAACGAAATGCAACAAGGTTTATAAACCAGACGGCCTTCATCGCTGCAGGCATATGGTGCAGTGCTCATCATCTCTCTTCCCTCATCCTCCTCCTCCTTGTTTATCCTCATGTCAACACCTGATAACAACTAAAGAGAAACGTCCCTGCTTGTCTGCAGTCCAAGATGGAGATGTTTGTAGAGGATAGACACTAAAACACTGACTCCTTTTTGTGCTGTCTGTCTGGCTTTCTTTCCTCCCTGCCCCCCTTCACTCTAAAAAAATGTAGGCCAGCAGGTCTCCTTGAGACATTTTTGGAGTTTGCTGGAACCACATTAGCACCGACTCCCAACGGATGACACTTCTAGGAAAGCCGAGACCAGAACCCACACTCTGCTTTCTGATATTCATCTGTCACTTTTTGGAAATAGTTGAGCTGCCACTTGTTTTCTGCTCCTGTGGGAAACCCTTGAACAGAAAAATGCAGCTCAGTGGAGGAATGCACAGACAGCACTGGGTGATTGTTCATGACAAGGTAAAACAGTGAAGGTTCACAGGCTAATTGATTTCTGCAGGGTAGTCAACATCCATTATGTAACCTGGTGTGCTGTGAGAAGGCTGATCCACTGCTGGGAGAAAGAACGCCTTCGAACGTCTTCAGTCTCTGTGCAAAAATCTTTAAACGGTAAGTTCTTCTTTCATAAATCAATGTTATTTGTTCTATGTTGAGTTTACTCTCCCAGCAGAGGGAGCCTGGAGGTCTATATTTTTTCCTCTGTGTTTGCTGGAAACAAAGACCTAAGCCAATCAGAAACCGGTTCAAGGAATTAAATCCGGGCTCGTTGTGGCCATGGCAACGGCTTTACCTCGGTGACAGCTGAGACGTAGAAATGGAAGAGGAGATGATGCACAGTAAACCCCCCTCAGAACAGATACCTTCAGAGCCACTCTCAGTGACCCGGCTAACCTCTGACTGCTTCGTTACTGCAGGAGAAAACTGGTTAAAAACCTGGATATGAAGCAAAGTAAACGAGAGCAGGGGGATGGAGGAGGAAACAGGAAGGTGTAGAGGAGGATAGCAAAGTGCACCAAACAGACCTATGCAGGGCTTTGAAGGTCTGGAGGGAAGGAAACAGATGAGGGACACCAGGTTAGGAAGGGAAATATAGAGGTGATGAGGGCAGAGAGGTGAACTTTTGACTGTTTCTGTGATTAAATACCAGACAGGTATTCAGGAAAGACTGAAAACCTGCAGCTCCATTAGGATGTCTGTACTCAGTTTCACATCACATTTTAATGATAAAATGACTAATTTGTGTTGAAATGATGAGTCACCTGGGTCAAAGTGCTGCAAACGTGATCCTTTCCTTTTAGATATGGGTTAGTCACTATTGTCTCATATCATATCATATCATATCATATCATATCATATCATATCATATCATATCATATCATATCATATCATATCATATCATATCATTACTGCAGGAGAATGTGTGTATGTGTGCATGTATATATACTTAGAGGGTAGGAGGGATGGGTTTTCTTGTTTGTTTTTTCCTTTGCAATGTTTTTAAATGCTCTCAAGCACTTTGTGTTGCTTTTTGTATGAGAAGTGCTCTATAAATAACGTTTGATTTGATCATATGATATAGATCATATAGCTATTTTTATCATCTAGTATATCGAATGTCTGTTTAATGTCTGTTATGAGTTTCAAACTAAATCATTTTTCAAAAGCAGACATAATTTGTGACAAAATAATGGGTCACCTGGGCCCAAGTGCAGCAAAGTTAATCATTTTCCTTTCATGTCTTATAAAGGATTTTACAGCTTCTTACAGCCTTTACAGACCGACGCATGTTGGCAGCTTTTTTTTCGAGCTCAATATATATACTTAATTTAGAAGATAACTGGCATAATTTGTGATGAAATGATGGGCCACCTGGGTCAGTGATTATTGTTTTGTTTTTTCTTTCGTCTTTTTTTTTTTAACATTATATCCTATCATATCATATCTTATATAGCATTTTAAAAAAAAAGCTTTGCAGCCTTTACAGGTCAAGGCATTTGTTTAAGCTCCTTTTTTTTATCATTTATAATTTCTAAAGATCTGTGCCTAACAGTCAAGGCCACTTCTGTGGGTGTGGTCCTCCTCAAAGTGTACTAATATGGTTCTGCCTTCAGTCCCGCCTCCACTTCAATACCGGCCTCCAATTGGTTAGTGTATCATACGGTTTCATTTCGATTGGCCGAGCGGGCTGTCAATCGATGTCAAACGGTTTGTGCTCACTCCGTAGCCCCGCCCCCTCACGCTTTCCGGAGCCAGCGGTTCATTCGTACGTGTAGCTCTGTGGATTACCTCGCCGGGAGGGAGGAAACGTGTTTTCGGTTCATTTTCCAGGCTTCTGTCGTTGTTTTAAGCCGCTATACGGCTAGAATATCTTTTTTTTTTTTAGGCAAGATTGTTTTTTTTATTTTTTTTTCGCGGTGCACTTCGGGTGGTTGCGGCGCAACGCTGTGGAAAAACCGCCGAGCTTAAGGCTTCGTCACCTGGCTGCTGCAGCTGACTTTGTGTCTTGCGGAGTTGCCAGGCAGCTGCCAGAAAAAAAAGAAAACAGCTAACAACTAGTTAGCAAGTCAGCCCAGTTAGCACGCCAGCTAGCCCACCTCTTTTTCCTTATTGCCACAGCAAGTCCCACCCTCAACCAAGTGCGTGGACGTTGAGAGGCTGCAGCGGTGAAGTATTTTTTTTTCTCTCGTCTCTTTCAATTTCGCCAGCATCCCGGTGGTACAGCCGGCTGGCGAGCTGAATTAGCACTCCCGAAAATAATAATAATAATAAAAAAAAGATTAGCTGGTGCCGCTAAAAAATTACTAGCTTTACGCTCGACAAGTGTCTTCTGTGTGGAGGGATACGGTCGCTACACTGGCAAAGAGAGTGGCTAAAAAGAAGAGGCGAAATAAGAGCGAACAAGGAAGACACCGAAAAGGAGGGGACTGGCTAGTTCAGCCGGGGAGACAGAACCGCACGTAAGTGACTCACAGTTGAAACCGTTCAGGTTAGCTCGCCGAACGGCTTACCTGCACAACTTGCAGCGCTTGCACAGCTACGTTTATCCGGCCGGCCACTCTTATGTGTGCGGCTTAGCTCCTCCAGTGCGCCACACTACAGCAGTAAGCTAACGGTATTACCAGGCTTCCTTGAAGGTGGCTCCCTCAGCTAGCACGGTTAGCCTGCTCCCCGATGGGTTGAAAGTGAGAATTGCACTTCCAAATCCCTGCTCTGCTACGTTTGCTGGGGTTAACTAACGCTAAGTTAGACGGGCAAGTTCAATCAACCTGGATCTGTATGGAGAACAACACCGAAGACCGGCTTGTTGTCTTAGAGTATTAGCTTATTAGCCGCTTTGCTAGCTAGTTCCAACCGGCCACCCACCCGAGTTGACAGCTCAGTTTGTGTAATGTTACTGAATTTCTGCCAGTGTCACCGATTATGTGTGCAGCCTTTAGCAAATGTGAGTTTCATATCTGCTCGGTGCAGCTGTGGGAACTCAGTCTTCCTCTGGTCAACCCAAGATAAAGTTGTCACTCAGTGGCAATGTCACACAGCAGCAGCACTTCATGTACATTACACTCCCCTTGCTTATAAATGATAGTGTGGCATATTTTTCTGCTGTCAAACTTGATAGTTACCTCTTCCTCAGTACATCCCAGTTGCCATGCGGGGCTGTCACCAGTCACATAGTTAACATTCACAGGCAACACACAAGCACACAGTGTACTGGCATGATAAAAGTCACAGCTGTTTAAAGCAACAATTAGGCAACTCTTAACCACATCACAGACCCAGCACTCAAACACAAGCATGACTCTGTGCTGTAATGAATTATACTTTCCTCTCCCTCCTCAGATAAATAAGAAAACGCTGCCGCCGAGCCGCACACAGCCATGAGTATTGAGATACCAGTGGGGTTGACAGAACTGCTGCAGGGCTACACTGTGGAGGTGCTGCGACAAAGGCCGTCGGACCTGGTGGATTTTGCAGTACAGTACTTCACCCGCTTGCGAGACACCAGAAGTCAGGATGGGGCCAGCACAGGCGGCAAGACGGGGAAAGGAGTCATGTTTGACGGGGAGCCGATGCAAACAGAGTCCAATGGAGATGACGACGAAGATGATGACTCTGACTTTGAGCGTAGGTTGACGTTTTGATTGTTGTTGAAGTTGTTTGTGTCAGTGAAACGGGGCAGAAAAGACAGCAAGTGGATATGTGTCTGTTTTTGTGAGGAGTTGTAAGAGAGAAGGTGAAGCCTGAAGCCCTGTCACTGATACAGTCAGAAACTATCTCGTCTCTTTCTGAGAGACAGATTTCCCCGGTGTGTGTGATGCCTGCCATATTTCCATACACACACTTGCACCCAGAAAATCCCATTGAGCCGACAGTTTGGCAAGACAGTCCTCGTCTGCTAATCATCTAATCTAGGTCTTCTCCATTCTCAAAAAAGGTACTATGGTTTAATTTGAACTATCAAGTCTCAAGGCCTTAAAAGGTCCAATTTTGGTAAATATAGCTTTCTAATTATAAAACTAACTTTTGCACTGATATAGGTCCAAATATATACTTAACAAAGTACAGCTGTAATGTTAAAAAAAGATAAAGTGAACATGTTTTCTTAGCAACAACTAATACATATTTACATGTAATAGTTTATAAACAATATAAACATTGTTCTGCAGCTGTAACTATTCAAGTCCCACACAGTGCGCTACCTACAGTAGCAGTGATGCCTTGTCTCTTTTGCATCACTCCCCTGAGTTTGACAGACTGGCAGAAGATGTGAGCTGCTCCATTGCTCAGCTCTCCTCTGTGCTGCTGAGAGCAGTGTGGCCTAGATCTCACTGGTGTGCTGTAGAGCCAGAGGTTGTTACCTTGTGAATGGGAAGGTTGGATGTTCTCTTAGTGAGCTGAGCCACTGTCATAATCTGTGAATCTTTGTTCTAAAATGTAATGGCGCTTAAGCTAAAATGCAATGTGAATGCAATCTAAATGCTGCTTAAGTTTCACCATGGCTGTATAGATTTTACTGGCAGATGTTGACGAGAACATTTTCATCAGACCCGTTTCCTGGGAGCTGAGTAGAGTTTCTTGTTTTAAACTTCAGTTCTAGTTTTGTCCTCTTTTATTTATAGCTTAACCATATCTAAGAGGTCTCATATGCATGTTTGGTCTCATCTGAAAGCAATGTTGGCCAACCTTACAGACTGATACAAGCTGGCTCATGGTGAACAAGGGATTACATTTTCTGTTTCTGTGCTCACACAAGTGGGGTTTGGCTGCTGTCAAACAGCTGTGACCTCAGCTGAGGAGCTGTGTGTGCGTGCTCATGATATATCTACATGTGTCTCTGAGCGCTTGTGAAACCAAACGGTTACGTTCTGATTTTATTTCACACCCGTTCAAATTCCAACCCGGTGACGACATGACACAGTTCTTTCTCGCACGTCCTGATTAGGAATCAATTGTTGAGTATATTCCTCACCTTGTCCAAGTGGGCAATAAAGGACGTGGTGTTGAGACAGTTGTGCTCCAACGAAAAAGCTTTTGCCTGGATGCTGTAGGTCACACACATGACTTCCATGACATTAGATTATCCAGGCAGGCTTGTGTACACTTCCCCCGGGGGACAGCCACTTCTGATTGGAACAACACAGGCCTGTATAATGAAAGAGATCATGTGCTCTTGCCTGACCACTGTTGTAGCCTATAGGCCTAAAGAGTACTACATTGCCGCTAGTTAAACAGCACTTGCGTCAGAGCAGTTTGGTCTTATGCAGAAAACACCAAAAATAACTTTAGTAGCTTATTTAAAACTTAGAAAATGGGATGTGATATTCTTAGTTACTTCTGCAGGTGACACATACTAGACTGTATTAGTTTCAACCCCTCTCATACGAAAAATCACAGGAAAATCCAAAGGATGTACCTCTATGTGCAACTGCAGGCAAAGCATAACAGTAATAAAGTTTTCTGGGGGTTTTGCTATTAATTGTAATAACTATTGTAATACCAATCCTGATTGGGCTTTAGTTGGGGCCCTGTGATGGGTTATTTTCAGGTCTCTACAGTACACCATCCAGTAGGAAAAAGTAAAAAGATCCCATCAATATTTTAAAAAGAAAGGCAATTTTGTTAAAGTATAAAATATTTACACGTCAATATGTCCAGCGTCAAGTTCTTTACGGCCTGACTTTGATGCTCTTTTAGAAGTTTGGAGAATAATTCTGCTGATGGACGGCGAGAAAGTCGTTTTCTCACCTTTGGAGCACAGCTCACATATTGCTGCCTTTGTCGTGCGGTGGCCCACTTTGTAACTAGGCCAATGACTCATTTTGGGTTTTGACCCTCTGATTAGAAATATTGCCATTGTGAAATAGGTATTGAGCTTCGTGTAATGGAAAGGTAGTTTTTTTTCCCCTTTTTTTTTGGCCCTAGAATGAAGACAGAATTAGCTCAGGGGACTTCAAGGTGAAGTGCTAGTTGCTCTATATGAACATACTCTGTATCTGTCGCATGTAAAAATCCTTGATACGCTTTTTTGTTGTTGTCTTTTATTAGACAGCTTACAGTTCTGATGATTCACCAGTGTGCTCTTAACCTTTATTTTGTGCTGCAGGAAATCATTGTGCATGAGTGTGCCGGCTAAACGCCTAAAATGTAAATGAACTGGATGGCTGTGGCTTTTTTTTTTTTTTTTTTGTATTCCCATGGATTGTACAGTATTCTCTTAAAAACCTGACGTCATATCTTACGTGCTTTGTTTCTCTAACTCTTGCTGCCTAAATCCAAAGCAGGATCGCTACACAGGCCTAAGCTGCTTAACAAAAGGAGATATTGTTTTCGGTACAAACTGTTGTGCCTTCATCGTATGCGGTGATGTCGGGCCAAAGATTTTTAAGTAACCCTTTCTGGGTTGAGGCTGAGATGCTCTTAAGGAGTGACCGATGATTGAAATAATCTTTATCTCATGTCAGTCGTGTTTTGCTGGCTCGGAAACTAAGGAATTTAAGAGTAGATGGAGTAAATATGAAGGTCAGCTGCTGTCTGCTTTAAATGGACGTACCTGTTGAGTCAGAAGTCAGATTTACAAAAGGAACTGAGAAAATAAAGTACATATTTATGCAAAAAAAAAAAAGAGCTGCAATTCAAATGGGGGTCTTCCTGATTTGTGCATGTATTTTTTGGCTTGTCTAGTGTCAGTTTGGCAGTGTGTGTTCACCAAGAGGGGCTGGGTGAATGGAAGCCTCTGTGACTGAAATGAGTGGGGCTTTTTATTAAAAGATGGATGGAGGGACAGATGGGATAATAGCAATGAATTAAATGTGTTTTTATAAGAAAGACTGCATGCAGGGATAAAGCAGAGGCTGTATGGAAAAGTGATTGAGGGAGAGGGTTAGAGTCAAATAAAAAAAAAAAAAAAATCTGCTTGTGATGACAACACAAGAGTCACCTGGATACATAACGGACATTATGCTTTTCCACATCCATGGGAAGTATTAGTTAGCTTCATCTGTCAAAGAGCTTTTGCCTCTAAATTACTGTAAACTCCTTGACGGAGTATTTTCTTCCTGAAAAGCGTCATTCAGTATACTCAATACCCTACCCCGGGTGTGTTGTTTTGATTATTTATAAGCACTAGTATTTTGAAAGCAGAGGCCTTGAGAAGACTCGTAACGTCAACAGAAGCCAGTAAAGTGTTTCCTTTTCATCGCAGCAGCCCTTCTTGCGACAGTAAGTGCAAATTTTCCCAGATGGTTGGTGTTCATTTGGGACTGCAAATCTTCTGTTGCCGCTAAACACTCCAGTAAATTATGTCATGAGACCCACTGCTTGGTGAACACAACTAAAGTATATCCTTGGAAACTGAACGGGTACGTGGACACCTCGCAAAGCGAAACACCTGCAAGTCCTTAAATGCTTCAAAAAATGTAAGTGTCTGAATTTTACAAGGGCCTTACATGATTTGCAGTAAAATGTAATGAAGGGTTTTGCACCTTCAATTCAGTCGACGGTGGCTTTTAGGTGCAGGTTGCATGCGTCACCAGTTGTTTCTCCCCGTCATTTCATTTTTTTTTCTCTCTGTGGTATGCTTGGGAAAAAATTCAGTTTCAAATAAGTTTTTATATGTTAAGATGCATGCACATAAGCCCACATGCACCTGTGTGTGGGCTTACCTACCAATGAGAATATACAGGAAACATCTGTCTCTGTTGCCATAATATTGCAGCTCAGCAGTTGTGACGAAATCGGTGCGCTAAATAATGCACTTTTAGTCATTTAATGACTTTAAACAAAAGTGTTTTATATGACTTTCCACTGCGAATCCTCCACCGGTAGATGCGCTTCAGTAGTTTGTTCCAGTTTCTGCATACGCACCACCTCAAGGGTCCCAATGGCAACAAATTCATCATCTGCCCAAAGCCGCATGGTTCCACACGCAGGCCCGAGCAGGAGTGTATGTGGGCCATGATGTGCGCACAAGTGTGTTAAGATAAACATGCTTCTCGTATGTTTGGTTTCTGGTGCTGTAGCTCAGGGCGTGATTGTACACAACATGGTGAAATTGTGCCTCTGTGACCTCTTTCTGTCTCCACCCCTCGCTCCGTCACCTCTTACACTCTGACCTGCTCTCTCTCTGCCCCTCCCTTTGCCCCATATTGTTTTGCCTCACTCCCACTGTTTCCTCCTTTTTTTTCCTTTCATGCTTTAATTCACACATTTATCATTTTCATTTCCGTACTGAACTATTTTTGATTTAGTTTCATTCAGTTTAGCTTTTCCCCTTCCTCCTCTTAGAGATTCATGAACATTATGCTGCGTCCCTATAGGCGCTGATAATTAGTGCAATATGCAGAGCGGAGATGTCTGTATTCAATATCCCCCAGGGGCTCAGCGTGTGTGTGTGTGTAGTTGTGTGAGTGATTAAAAGGTAGAGTTGGCGCATGCGTGCAGTTGCCGCCGCTGCTGCGAGTGTGTACATTTGTATATCTGTAGGTGTTAGTGTGTGCATGTGACTGGTCTCAGTGTAGTGTTGTGCAACAGGTGACCTGATTAGTAGGCAGCAATGTGTGTCCAGTGTGGCTTTAGCCTGCAGGCAAATCTAATGCAGCCCAACATCGAGACCATTCGGACTGGCA